TTACTTTGAAAACATTTTGCTTCTCATCCAAGAAGCTTCTTCAGTTTGGAATTGAAGAACTGAACTAAAGAAGTTTCTTAGATGAGTAGTAAAATGTTTTCAAGATAAAAACCAAGAAAGTGCAGTTGCCGTTTGAAAAGCACCTTTGGTACATCAGAATTCAACCTTTTCTAGAAGGGCCTCTGCAAAGACATTTGGAAGATGTGCATCTTCAGGTGTCTTCAACAGTGGAACAATGTCATGTTAACTGTTTTAATGTGCTGTAACTTCATGATATTGCCTTTATAATATCCACAACCCAATGTCAACTTAAAGTCATCCTTAGTTCTTACAGCCCTTTTCCTTTTCATTGCTGTGTTCTTTTCTCCCAATACAATTCTTGCTGTGGTTACAATCTGGCATGCTTCACCAATAGTGTTCTCCTGATGCAGTCTGAGGCATTTGTCAGATATTACATAGGGTTATTATATACATACACTTAGTGATTAGAACATCAGAACATCTTTGTGTATGTGTGTGTGTGGGGTGGTGGGAGCAGAACTAACTCTTTTTTGAAAGTTTCTAGTTCTGTGCTACACAGAAGTTCAATTTGAATGGGCAGAAAGAGCCGGATTCTGTATACTGCTGCTTTTATTATCAGTGCATATATTACAAATTTTCAGTTGCTTCAGCAAAGCTTCATATGGCCATACATGTTCATGTTTTTTATTGGAGGTATGTGCGATACAGGAATTATTTCATGCAGAATCAGTCAAGGACAAAGTTTGCTTGTTCTTTCTATCTTTACACCCTACCTCTTAGTCCAACCCACAGATTGCAGGCATGAAGGAGCTTCTAAAGACAGTTTAAGGTAATGAGGACAGTTTCATGAGAACCCATTAGAAAAAGAGGGCAAATTCTGGGAAAGCTTTGTGCTGAAAGGCTCACGGTAAAGCAAGCATATAATTGCAGCTGATGGAAGGACAATTTGCTATACGCAATCAATTTTCTAGTACATCTTCTCATTCTGGATGTGCAGGAAGGATGGAAGTAGCAAGATTTATGGTGACTAGAGTTCCAGCTCAGGACAAAAGGAAAACATGGTAAAAGTAACATGGATGAATCCCATAAGTAGCATATTCAGTAAACCATGCGTCATGGAAACTTAAGAAGCATGGAGCACAGCACTGAGAAAAACCATGTTTATTAGAGGAACCCCAAACAATGGAAAAGCAAAGCCCAGAATATGCAGGAAGGGACCCATGCTTAAGTAAGCAATGAGTAAGTATAATGATAAATACAGAAATGTGGAAGAACTATTCCCAGACAATTTCATTACAATTAATCCACTGAAATTCATACAGTCGTTCAGTTTGGGTTTCATTTATTGCATTGCACTTATTGCATTGGATACAGTGGAAAAGCCTTGAAAATTGGCAGATTCCAGCCCTGCTAGTTGGCCATAACATAATATTAATTATGTGCCCAGCATCCTCAGGTAAATTATACAAAACCCCTGTAAATTGCAGGGCTTTTGTTCAGCATCTTGTTATAAATATCATCCCCATTATCTGCCAATTTGATTGGCATTGCTTGCTCCTCTTCCTAAGATTATAACTGAAATTCACCATTCTGAGTTTAAGTATGTGGACAACAGAAGTATCATGCCAAGTCCAACCTCCTATCCAGAGGTTTTCTCCTAAGTCACTGTTCATAGGATGGCAATCTTTTGAAGCTCCCTAGCCTTGAAATCAACAAGATCTGCTTTGGTGTATCCATCTTGCAGAGACATGGCATCACACCACTTAATAGGCTCACATTTGTAGAAAATCCCAGAGGAAGGACATCTGATTTGATGGTCCTGAAAAGGGGTAGTCAAGGAGCACAGATTTATACATCTTTTTGTGTGTGTGTTGTATCCTTGTTGGTTTAACCAGAGAAACAATTTCAATTCAAAACCTGAAATGGTAATAGAAGACTACCTAAATTTGAAGCTGGGAAGCAGCAAGGCCAACAATGGGTGATCCAGATTGCTTGATATAAAGCTATATTGATGCTGTTTCGAACTACAGTTAGAAGTTTGAAACAGCCTTTGTATGTATCTTTGTAGCTTCTTTGTAGTTACAAACTAAGTTCTGAAAATTCATTTTGACTGATTCAATTTGGAACTACATGATGCTTTAAAAAGTCATCATTCTCCACTCAGAAATGAAGAACAAATTTGTATAGTAATATTTGTTGGCCTATGGGGGAGGGGGACATTTTCAACAAAATATTTTGCCTGCAATTTTGATAGACAATGTGCCCTTAAATTGGTGTTGACTTACAGCAACGTATAGCAACTACATAGGCCCTCTCCAGGATAATCTGTCCCCATCCTGGCTTTCAGATCTCCCAACCATGCACTCATCACTGCTATAATTGAATGGATTCATTTGCCTGCTGGCCATCCTCTGGTTTTCTTTCTGTTCCATTTCCCCCCCAGTATTATGGATTTCTCAGGAGAGCCTGATCTTTGCATAATGTTTCTGAAATATGACAATATGAGTCTGTTCATTTGTGTCTCAAATGAAAACTCTGGATTGATTTATTCTATTATCCATATGTTTGTTTTCTTGGCTATCCATGAAATTCTTAGAAGTCCCTTCCAATACCAAAATTCTGAAGTATCAATATTTTTTCTTATCACACCGTTCTTCAAAGCATTTTAAAGTGGCACAAAAAAGTTAACTAGCTTTGAAAAACTGCAGATCTCTCCAGCAGACAGAACATGGTAAGAGTGAATAATCCAATTGGAGTGCTGTTTGCTCTCCCAATCTGCATTGATATAAAGGTACATTTTAATATAAGCAGCTGTCTCTAAGCGGTTTACAGTGTCAGCATATTACCCCCACTAATTTGGGTCCTCATTTTATTGATCTCAGAAGGATGGAAGGCTGAGTCAACTTTGAGCCAGTCAGAATCGAACTGCTGGCAGTGGGCAGAACTAGCCTGTAATACTGCATTCTAACCACTGCACCACCATGGATATAGCAGTCTTTTGGCTGTAAGTATCAAGTTTAGTTGCATATTTATGACAGGGACTGGTTTTTCTCTCTCCAAGACTGTTTCTACCCTGATATTTTTCCAATTCTGCAATCGCCTTATTGGGAGATTCCCCTCACCCAGGTGTCAAAAGGAAAAAGCCAGAAAGCCAGAAGGGAAACTGATTCTTCTTCACACAAATCAGGAGGACATCATCTGCAATGGTTTAAGGCAGAACCAATAGAGAGCCAGTGAAGACATGAAAATCACCAATGAGAAGATAAAAAGTTTGGAGTGGGATTACTTTGGGGAAAATGCACAGGGAGAATTGTTCTTTTGCCAAATGGGAAAAATGTGTGGATGCCATGCATCTAAAATTCTCTGGGAAAAGAAATAAAAAAACCATCCTTTGATACTGCTAAATCAGGGGTCTCCAAACTTGGCAACTTTAAGACTTGAGGACTTCAACTCCCAGAATTTCTCAGCCAGAAAAGCTGGGAGTTGCTGTGCTAAGTGATTTGGGAGTATCTGATAAATTTAACTCTGCAATTGACCAATTCAGGAACAGTTTAAGTCCCTTCCAACAATCCCCCAACATCTTTTCTGCAGCGTCTGCCCAAGTCTCTCCGTGTAAGGGAGAGAACGAGACTGGAAGGCATTTCTTTCTACGCCTTATTGATATCTGTGCCTTTCAACCAAATTTCATCCGCGGCAGATTTCTACACAATGGGGATGGCCTCCTGCAAACACCCAACTAATCCTGTTCTCACGCAACCGCCTCTACCGGCGCATTTTGCTACTCGGCCTTTCCAAAATCTCCAAAGGGGTTTGGCTTTGAAGCCGTTCCCCTTTCAAAGCAGAAGACGTCTCCCCTAAAAACTTAAAGGTGCTTAGCAGCCGGCGAAGCCTCCGATGGTTCGCAGGAGGCGCTTACTAACGATTTATTGGGGGGGGGGGGAGAAAGGTGAGAGCCAAGCGACCCTACGAGCACCGGCTTTGCGCAAGTCCCGTTGAAAGTCCAGGTTGCTGAGAAACCCACTTTGAGGACGAGGCTGCTCTTGCAACAGAGCAAGGAAAACTGCCCTTCCACTTGGAAAGTCCATCTCGCCTCGGGTGAAATCCAATTTTTTTTTACTACCGGTTCTGTGGGCGCGGCTTGGTGGGCATGGTGTGGCGTTGGTGGGCATGGCAGGAGAAGGATACTGCAAAATCCCCATTCCCACCCCACTCCAGGGGAAGGATGCTACAAAATCCCCATTCCCACCCCACTTCTGGAGGAAGGATATTGCAAAATCTCCATTCCCACCCCACTCTGGAGCCAGCCAGAGGTGGCAATTGCCTGTTCTCCGAACTGCTCAAAATTTCTGCTACCGGTTCTCCAGAACCTGTCAGAACCTGCTGGATTTCACCCCTGGTTTGCGAGCTCTGCACAGAAATGCCGGCTGCCCGCCCCGTTCTCAAAGCGCTCGCTTGGTCCGTCGGGAGCAGGGATCGCACAGGTGGTGGGTGGGCAGCCACCGCCCCGTTCAGGGGGAGCCCCAGGGTGGCGCCAGGACCGAGCTATATAAAGCCTCATACCTGGTCCCCGCGGGAGCTGCTCCGTTTCATTCGTCCCGTTGCTCCCTCCCATCCACCCCGGCCTTTTTTTTTTTCTTTCCCCCTTTTTCTTTTTGTATATGAATTTAGCCGGTTTTTCCTTCTTCTCGGGTAAGTGCACCATGACAGCCGACGCCTTCCACTCGCCCAGTCAGGGGACAAGCCCGGATTCCCCCGCTATGCATCGGGCCTCCCCGTCGAGCTGCAAAGCGGAGCCTTTCTTGATCAAGTCGGAGCCCAGAGGAAGCCCGGCGGAGAGAGGAACCGAGCAGCCCGCCGACGATCAGCCGCTCGGTCCCGGCGCCTCGGCCAGCGCAGGCGCAGGCGCAGGCGCAGGCGGCGGCGGCGGCGGCCGTCGAAGAAAGCGTCCGGTGCAGCGAGGGAAGCCCCCGTACTCCTACATCGCCCTGATCGCCATGGCCATCGCCAACGCGGCGGAGCGGCGGCTGACGCTGGGCGGCATCTACAAGTTCATCACCGAGCGCTTCCCCTTCTACCGCGAGAACCCCAAGAAGTGGCAGAACTCCATCCGCCACAACTTGACGCTCAACGACTGCTTCGTCAAGATCCCCCGCGAGCCGGGCCACCCGGGCAAGGGCAACTACTGGACCCTGGACCCGGCCGCCGAGGACATGTTCGACAACGGCAGCTTCTTGCGCCGCAGGAAGCGCTTCAAGCGCACCGACCTCACCACCTACCCGGGCTACATGCCCAGCGCCAGCGCCTTTACCCCCAACGCGGGAGTTGGGAGGCCCGGTCCTTGCGGGGGCTCCGGTGCTTTAGGTTACCCGGGTGGCGGCGATCCCGTCTATTCGCCCGTCCGCGCCTACAGCCCGCAGCTCTCCGCCCTTCCCCAGTACCCGGGGGCGCCGCCTGCTCTGCCCTCGCGAATGTTCAGCATCGACAGCTTGATCAGTTCCAAACAGCAGCAGCAACAACAGCAGCAGCAACAACAACAACAGCAACAACACCAAGCAGCTGCTCTGCAGGCCTCCTCGGCGATGGGGATGGACCTGGGCCCTTACCATTCCTTGGGCCTGAATGGCGTGGGCGATCTGGGCCCCTGCCCGATGGGCAACCCGACGGAGACCTATTTCCAGGCGCAGCAAGTGAGTCCCGGCTTAATGGGTCGGCAGCCTGCAGCTCCGACCTACCCCTACGCCGCCTCTCCATCAGGCCACTTAGCAGTGCCGCCCAGGGCCTATTCCCCTCCCCACTCGCAGCTGTACGGTGCCCCCAGCAGGCTGGTTGTGCAACCCGGGCGCCCTGCCTCTTCCTGCCCGGAACACGCGGAGCAGCTGGTGGGCCTGGCAGCCTCGCAGCTCAATGGGCTCGGCCAGTTTGGAGCCGCCACCACCAGCACTGCCTACCTGAGACAGTCAAATTTTTCCTCCGGCCTGGAGAAATATTTGTGAAGAGGAAGAAGCCAAAGCTACAAATACACCCAAAAATTCTTGTGGAACTCTTTTTTAATAGTCAGATGAAAGTCTGTATCTAATGACTAATTAGCAATCATTCCATAATCGGATTCAAAGTAATACAACTTTTTCTGTATTGTGTGTGGCAGCCTCTTGGCTTGTTTAGGATTGGCCCTTTGAGATATATATTCTGTGCCTTCAATCACTGTACCTAAAGTGCATTTATCTTGTGTGCTGGGCAGAGAGCCATAGTTTAAATACTGGGGTTGCGGCCTTAAAGACCAAAGTCTTGTCATTCAGCAGATGCACAATCTTTCCACATGTTTAATTGGCCCAAGCAGTTGTTTTAAAAATAGGGCTTTTTGTGCTTGTAGAACAAATCTTGGGGTGCGGGGCAGGGGAATAGCAGTTAAGGTTGAAGCAGGCTTAAAGCGTTGTCTCAGGTTCAATTAAAATACAGCAATATTTGGATATCAGTGCCATCGGTGAGTTTAGCATAAATTCAACCCGTGGCATCCAAAGTGGGAAAGCGGTGAAAGACAAGCTAGCTAGGGAAAAAGTCATTTAGGCTCCAGCCTTCTCTGTGGCAAGGCTGTTGTTTTCAAGGAGAAGTACCGGAAAGAAAGCGATTGTGAAGGTACTCTTTCTGAGCAAGTTGTTTATTTCGTGGAACGATCTCACTTTCTGGGATTTTCAGTCCACTGTGTGAACTTTGGGGCTTGAATTGCTCTGCACATCAGTTTGAATGCTTTGTTGCTTGCAGAGATTGGAAAAGCTGTTGTAGAGCAGGGGTCTCCAACCTTGGCAACTTTAAGCCTGGGTGGACTTCAGCTCCCAGAATTCCCCAGCCAGCTGGCTGGGGGATTCTGGGAGTTGAAGCCCACCAGGCTTAAAGACCCCTACTCTAGAAGGAAGGAGGTAGATCCCTTAGTTTCTCTCAGGCTGTTTCTCTGGTGGGTTTCTTTGCTGCTGGCTAATCCGAATGAATGAAAATGCTAAAAGGGGAAAGCAGCCACCCAACTATTTTTAAAAGCCAGTAGATGGGATCTAGCGTGTTTTCAACAGCCTCTTAATCAAGCTGTAGAAGTATTTAGCTAGTTTTTATCCTCAATGTGGCTGGAGGGATTGTTTAGTCTACCATAGGTGGAGAAAAACAGACCAGGCTGAGGTAAAGAGTTCTAGGCTAAAAGGCAATGAAGCTTACAAGACTCCTTTTAAACATTGAATGCATTTTCATGTCCATCTTGCCTTTTTCTCCAAGGTGTTTTGGGACAGCATACCCTTATTGTTTCAGTTTCACATTAATCATTGGCCAGCCTGAGAAATAGCAACTAATCCAAGCAACAGCAATTTGTCAAAGCTGAGGTGGGATTATGTCCTTTTAATCCTCACAATAGTCCTGTTAGGCAGGTTGACCTAAGAGATGACAATTGCCTGAATGCCACTCAATTAACTTAGTGGCTTTGTAGGGATTTAAGTACCTTCTTCCCAAGTCCAGTCCAAAACTTTTATCTTCCGCAAAATATATTCATTGGAAAATGTCTGGATCACTAATGATAATATACAAGCATTTGACATTTGTTCCATTACATCTTCATTGTGGTTCTAGAGCTGTATGCTTGAGGGAGAGTATCCTAACTTTTAAAGGGCTAGCAACTTGTATATGCTGTGCTATGATTGATTGGGTCAACAACAGTCATTCTGTGCAATGTGCATCTTTTGAAAATCCCCACTGTGTAACAGTTTTGTTGTGCACATTATTTACTCTTTACTGTGCACCGTGCACATTATTTACTGATACACATAAAGATTGGATACGGAAGTGATTTGATGTCCATAAAACACCATGGTAATGCTTGGTAATGCTTCAATGTACATGCATTGGACAGTTTTGTTTACTGGATTGCTGTACCATGTATCAGCAAAATTACATCTGAATTTTGTACAGTATGTATAGTACGTATGACATACATAGTACTGGAATAATTAATTGTACATATTGTATGTTGAACAATAGTGCCTTCTGAATAATAGACTTAAGTACTTTATATATATATAGTGGATGTAAATATTTTAGAACTTTTTATTGGACTGAAAACCTGTAACCAAGTAAAGATCTTAGTAAACTCCTTTATTTAAACTAAGGTTCTATGATTTAAATGATTTAGTGGCAGTGCTGAGGCCTGCCTTAACACCAGTTTTAACTTACAACTAGGATTCCAATTTTTCTGGCAAAACATTAGACAGAGTTTTGAGATCAGAGTTTCTACTGTCTTCAAGTTAAATACTTTTGTGCTAACTGGATTACGGATTTGTCAATGATAATTAGAAAATAACGAAAGATCAGAATTTTCAGTATTAATTTTTAATTTTGTGCAAACTAGTCCTGATTGGAGTAGCAAGCCAATACCTGAACTGTGCTTTGTCAGGATTACTAAAAATACAATAAAATAATTTTTCTGCATTTACAGAGCTAGTATTCTAGGAAGAAGACCAGGATTACAACTCTTCTTTCCTCATTATCTAGATGGGGTATTATTGTTATGACTTTTCTTATGACTTTATCTGTGTGTTTACAGAAATATTTAACTATATGAATTCCACCTTCACCACTGAGTACGTTTAGCCATGGATTTATTACTTTTACACGAACAAGCCTTACTTACTTATTACTCTAAGAATGCATTTTTGTTCAACGGAGGTTTTTTTTTAAAAAAAACAAAACAAAAACTAAGTGTTCCTTTTGAACATGCTTCAGCAAGCTGCTTTTATTTTACCTATTGAATATGTATCTTGAATGTATACTTTATTCTTAAAATGTGAATATATACTTTATCATTAAAATGGAAAAAATATAAAGCAAGTAAAGAATTATCCTTGTTTAAATGTTCTTTGTGGCACATAATGTGTCTGATCCATTAAAAACATAGCTTCTTAAATTTTGATTCATGGATCCTTAAATTTGGGGTGCAGACGTGTTTTATTTTTTCAGAATTTTATCATATCCAGAATGGTTTAATATGGTTGACTGTTTTCCAATATGGAGATTTCTAAAGACAGCTATGTGTACAATTATTAAAAGTGATTGTTGTTCTGAATCTACGTTTGAGATTCAGCCTTGTTTCCACATTCAGAGAGCCCTGTTTCTATAGTCAACCTTGGACTCTGCTTTAGCGATTTAGAGATTTTGATTTGGTAATCAGTCTTCTGTATTCAGCTAGATGGTCTCTAGTAAGTGCGCAGTGACAATGTAAAGCTAAATTTAATCAAATATACTCATGAGAAAAACTTACACTAAAGGAGGTTTACGTTATTTGCCCAGTTCAGAAGACCACCAGATATTTTTCCTTAATTTGATTTTGTCACTTAATTGTTCTACACAGAAATTTATTTAAATATTTTGGTGGAAACCCTAAATAAATGATGTATTTTATACATATCTACTCTGAAAGAAGTTGCTTTCAGTTTAGCTGAACTTATAACTTAGGCAAATACATTCCAATGAATTATAGCTTCTGAGAAGTTTTATCTTTATCAATGCCAATAGATGAAAATTGCAAGTATATCACTTTATTAGATTTTGGATTCCATGACCTGGATAGCAGGACATGGTAGAGTTAGAATATGAAAATCAGTTCTTTTTACACTTGGAAAAAATGATCAAAGAAATGGTCAAATGAGAGTTAGAGAAAGAGGAAAAGAAGAAAAAGTTGAACTTTACTGCAATCTTTATACAGAATACATGTGAATCTTTGACCTTTCAAAAGTGATTTTCTTTTTAGAAACAGGCTCAGTGCAACTCCTTTTCTGGATACAGATCGAGGTGATACATCTTGATCAAATATATTCTTATTGCTCAGTCTTTTTGGGTATTGCTGAAGACATAAATGAAGGTCAAAAAAAGAAACAAGTAGCCAGTTCATATTAATTGCCACTTATCCCAAAGAAGCAGGGAGCTTGTAATCTGCAAACTTTTGTGGATAATCAGACTGTTAAATTTCAAGGTATCACAAGTCAGTTGATACCTTGAAATTTAGATGCTTAGATGACAATGCTTAGATGACAGTTATGTCATCTAAGCATTAGAAAAAGGAAACAAGGGTGTGGAATATTTCTTTTTGTATCTAAATGTGATTTTTGAGTAGGTGAGATAAATCCTTTGCCCGAGGACGCTATTCTAAATGTGACACTCATTGGTAAATATGGGCTCAGTTAAAGTTTTTATTTGGGCTCAAATAAAGATTGTTAAAATATTTATTTATTTATTTATTTAATTTCTAGGCTACCCAACTCTAGATAATTCTGGGCAGCTTCACAAAGTTAAAAGAGCAGTAATTCTATTTTAAAAAAATAACAACATCCATAAAACAATAACAATCTGAGGGAACAAACCATCTTTTCATATATTCCTCCAGCTTTATAATACATGTGTACCACCTACAAATCAATATCCATGTAGGGGAGAGATGTCTTTGGCGTGGTTCTTACCAGAAAAATTCCTCATTTCAGTTGACTTGGCTTTGATTAATGGCAACTGAGTTATTCCAAGCTGATCTCACATTTGTGCAAACCAGAAGGAAGTTTGAAAGCTGGATCTGTCTGGGAAGCTTCTCTGAAAGCTCTTGAAGATCTTAGCAAGCTTTGGCTTTTAGTCTCTGAAGTATGGCTGGAGACAGCTGGGCTCCAGTTGTCTGAAGAGCCGCATTACTTCTCTCTTATGTTTTTTACCTGACTCCTTTTTTGTACCCTTGAAATTGTGTTGTAGACTCTCAACTTTTGTCAACTGAGCCCTCTCTGGAATGTTGCAGTATTCATTTTCTGATACTAACTTAGCCCACCCATTTTAATATTTGTGTGTGTGTGTGTGTGTGTAAGCATTTTATACATGATATGTTGTTTTAAGAAACTTAAATAGCTCACTATTTTCCAAAGAGATCAATAGTCAATGACTGATGCATGCAAAGCACTAAAAGCATCATATTTGTATTTAATTAAGGGAATTATTCTGCTCCAAAGGTAAGGATTTTTGTTTGTCACTGAGGACTCTCACCTTTGACATTCAGCTTGATCATAATCAAGATTAGAATCTGGGCTTGAAGGACATGAGATGGTCCTTCATATATACATGTTCATATTCTGGAACTTTTTAGAAAAATACCTGCATTTCCATCTGGAACAAAGCTTATCCACATTAGTTAATGTGAATAAATATATATCTTGCTGACTTTAGGTGAATTTTGGGGAGAGCCTAGAAGAAAAGCTGAAGGTGACAATCTTATATTTTTTCCCTTAACTTAGAAAATGAACAAAATGGCACTGATGAGTGGC